CTATTCTTTGTTTGAACTATTTCTGCTCCCTGTAAAACGAAATATATTCTGTCTTAGGATTATTATTCCTTATTACCCGAATAAACAAGGTGAATGATATCTTTTAGTACTTATTTATTGGTATATAGATTAAGTCATTATTTCGACCATTTCCCATAGAATTACTTTATTCTTGTATGTATGTACCTGATTTAAAATCAGCCACTCCGGGTCTATTTGAGAATCCCCAACTGGATCCAACAGAATTGTCTGGAAAGACCGGAAGTCAGTGGAATGGATATCTTTATGTTCCGGACAAACGTCCTCCACATCAGCAAATCCATCTCCATCAGTATCATCTACGCAGGCGTCACCGTATCCATCACCTTTAGAAGAGCATTTTGTTCTGTTAACATGTATTGGATGAAGATCAAAAGACACTGTATAGATATTAAGATGATATTTGTGCTATTGCATGACTACATTATAGGGCTGGCTTACCATCCGTGTCGACCTGGTCAGGGTTTGATACGAGAGGGCAGTTATCGTCATCATCATCTATCCCGTCATTGTCATCATCTTCATCACAAACATTGCCTGAAATCGATGTAACTTGAAATCAGATATGATTCGTATCCATTCTATCAATTTTATACCCTTAGGTCAACACCCAGGTAAGTACTATAAAAAAAGTAAGTTCATTTACTAATAACAATTTTCATGCAATTTATTAACGATGATTCTTACCGATATTATCCTCATCTGTGTCCAACTGGTCAGCGTTTGGAACAAACTCACAGTTGTCGTAATTGTCTTGTATTCCATCACTGTCTCTAAATTAAACAATTTACATGTACTAATGACTAGATTAAAGACGGAATATAACCTCGTTAATACTTCATACACAAAAAAGTTTTAAAAATAAACTTACTCGTCTTCGTTCGTGTCACAGATGTCGCCGATAGAGTCATGGTCAGAATCGTTCTGCAAACGAATATAAAAAAAAAGATTTGTTACATTTACACTTCAGTTCAAACAGACAGCATTGAAAGTATTAGTTACCAAAAAGGAACCATTGACGACGGATTTTCCCGATCATGACAGGGAGCACACGGCGGGTGTGACCGGTCGGCAGGGGATACTCACTCCTGCATGGCACCTAACCCACATCTGATGTTTTGGAGGTCTGTGTGTGCTGTGCTCCTGTTTTGTATTGTTTTATGAGATTTGATATTGAATACTGTTCGTAATCTCTTTATCTCTCATTAATACCTGTAGTTTATTTGCCAGAAAGGGACTGTTTTTACTTGTTGTTTATTTGCCAAAAATGCCAGTTGTCATCAGAAAGGGACAGTTGTTAACTGCATTTTTTTTTGTCAGAAGGGGAAAATTGCTACCTTACAAACAAAGATACATAATAGGTTCCAGTAAATGTTCAACCAAGCCTCTTTCTGTACTCGCCACTAAGAAATTAACAGTATTGACGGAGAAACTTCAAGAGTACTGTGCAACGGTTTATCCAAGAAGTGGTGTAAATCAGATGTGGATACGTAAAACCTCCAAGAAACTTTTGGACAATTCAACAGCATAAAAACTTTGCAACTTTATACGCAATCATTCCCAACGATAAATCAGAGTCCAGGCTTTTTATATATATATATATATAATTGACAGCTGTTTTTTCAACAAAAAAAGAGATGGAACTATCTATTGGACTATCTATTGGAATTCGGATGGGGTCCAACTGTGCCCCGTTATTAGCAGATCTATTTTTGTATTCATCTAAAGCAGAATTCGTCCAAAATCTTATACGTTGTGTGCTTATAAGCTGTGGCTTTCAACCCCACATTTAGATATATCGACGACGTATTGTCAACTAACAACTGCAAATTCCAAACGATATATCCCGGTGAGCTTGAGATAAAAGACACCACAGAGTCTGACACATGTTTCTTATTTGATATTTATTTGAAAAAGACGTTAATGGTGATCTAACAATCAAGCTCTATGATAATTGATAAACGAGATGACTTTAACTTTTCAATCGTCAACTTCCCTTACTTATGCAGCAATATACCTTCATCACCTGCATACGGAGTTTATATATCTCAGTTGATTCGATACGCAAGAGCATGTTCTACGTATGAACAATTTTCAAAATGAGGTAAATTATTAACAAACAAGTTGTTGAAACAGGAATACCAACAGTCACGTTTAAAGTCGTGATTTTTTAACTTCTATGGTTGATACAATGACCTTGTCAGCAAAGCCAATTTATTGATCAATTTTTCTGTTATTTTTTTCCGAGCATGACAAGGAGCACACGGCGGGTTTGAGCCGGTCGGCACCTGATCCCACCTCTGATGTTTTAGAGGTCCGTGTTTGCCCTGCTCCTATTTTGTATTGTTTTTTTTATGGAATTTTAATCTTGAATACTGTTCATTATCTCCATATGTGTCATTACCTGTAATTTATTCGCCAGAAAGGGACAGTTGTCACACAGATCCCCGATGCCGTCTTCATCCCCATCATCCTGGTCAGGGTTAGCCACTTTAGGACAATTGTCCTTGTCGTTCAAAATTCCTACAAAATAAGTTTATACATCCAGCACTTTTATCTATTCATTGTGCAACATTCTGAGGTATCATGTAGGGTTAATTGTTTATCATCTTGCACCTATAGTTTTATATATTTCTGAAGTCAAAGTTATCTGTATTGTATATGTTAGTCTTGTACATCCGGATCTATCTAAGATTTAAGTAACATCGGATAATTTTTTGTTGAAACATAGAGCTGGTATTTTCCCTCACCGTCATTATCTATATCAGGGTCACAGGCGTCGCCAACGCCGTCCTTGTCCGTATCGAGCTGGTCGGTGTTGGGTACACTAGGACAGTTATCACAAGAATCTCCATGATTGTCCTTTTCTCCTTCGTCTGTGTTTTCCTGACCAGGATTTGCTATATACGGGCAGTTGTCCTAAAACATTATTTTTTCATTATCAACTCAGAACTTTAACATTTTCATAAAAACTTTTAAAGGAATTTTGGTGTCGTATAATCACGGTCCATGAAGCTTACTGGATTATTAACGATCCCATCTCCATCAATGTCTTCATCACAAGCATCTCCAATTCCATCCAGGTCAACATCCTCTTGACCACTATTTGGAACATCTCGGCAGTTATCCTGGAAAGAAGCATTAAAGAAGCAAAAGTGTATCTTCTGCAAGATTTATTGATTTGTTTATGGCAAATATCACAAGCTTACTCTTGAGCATCTGTATTCTTTACAACGAAGCCCGATGTTGGGCATGCCATCCAGATCGTTGTCTTTGGCGCAGTATTCCCCATTACCAGCATATCCAATTCGGCACTGCAAATATTTGAGGCAAGAATTTACACAAAAAAGATTTATTTATTGTTTTGCGCCAAATCGGCTATGTTTCAGTCATATTTTGGAGGATTAAAAGATGAATTACATTAGAATTGGTCAATTTTTTTCCGAATAAAGTCATCCAAAGTGACTGAATTCACCGTTTCCTTTTGAAAAAACTCACCTGACAGTCATACCCCGATATTCCCATGACACACATGGCATGTTTGTGACACTCTCTCACTCCGTCTGGACAGAGGGTCTTCATCTCTCGACATCCAACTGTCTGGTTACCGACAAAATCATCAAAGCACTCCCCACATACAAAAGATCCCTAAACATATAAGGAATATATTCATCAGAAACTCTCTCCATACCAACGGAACCTGATAATTCCAGAGGGATTCTTAAATATAATCATCAGAAACTCTCTCCATACAAACGAAACCTAACAATTCCAGAGGGATTCTCAAAGTATTTTCCACATTGGATCTTTAAGGTGACATCAAACACTGTATCATATAAGCGATGGCTAACAATTCAAATAGAATCATCGTAACATTTTCCAAATACAAACTATATCATACATGACAAGAAATTATCGGACATTCTCCAAAACCAATAATCTCTAAGATGGAGAAACCATCCTAACCTCTTCCAATATAATTTACTCAATCATTCAGTGGGAATCAAAACAGTTTCCACCCAAAAACTTTTTAACTACATATTGGTATATATCATTTTCTACATAGGATTTAATTTTCTAGATACTTGTTTATTTTTTACTTGTATCTGTGTATATCAATTTCAACACTCTAGTAGTGTGTTTCATTCTCTATATGGGGATGTATTTTATTTTTCTACATATAAACTTACGTATTTCATTTTATACGTACAGGTGTATTTCATTTTCAACAAACAGATATATTTCATTTTATACATACTGGTGTATTTCATTTCCTACATACGGGTGTATTTCATTTTCTACATACGGTTGTATATGCGCTATGTATTTCATTTTCAACATACGGGTGTTTTTGTCATTTCAACATACGGGTGTTTTTGTCATTTTCAACATACGGGTGTATTTGTGCAGTGAGAATAATCCACACAGCCTCCATTATTTCCGTCTTCACATTCATTAACGTCTTCACAAGCCTAAAATAAAAAGGTCTCTCTAAATGAATAAAGGATTATTGGACAAATGTGATGAATGCGATCAAGTTGTTACAATCAAACCTGCTGTACGGCTTTCAGGCCCTCTATACCGACTCCAGACACGTCATTTCCGGAATATCCAGAGGGGCAGCTTGTACACTTATATCCAGGAATTAAATTCACGCATTCCGTCATGAAACTGCATGGGTTATGTACTCTACACTGTAAGGAAAATTTAGCATATTACTTATCAGAATTTTTTTAAAAAAAGAACTGCTGCAGACTTAGTTCATTATACCATCCGTAAGCAAAAATGACCTTGGATTCACTTATAAACTTGGACGTAGCAGAAAATATGATGATGAAAAATATTTATTGAAAGAAAATTGACTTCATTTGAAAGTAACATACGAGACTGTTACATTGTACTCCCTTTCCACCAAAACAAAAACACGAAAAGATTTTGGTAGTAAGATAAGCTTTTTCTTGCCTTTTACTTGTCAAAAATTTACGATTTCTTCATTTAGATCTTCCAGGAATTTCATACCCTGATCCGCACATGTCATTCAGTTCCGGGAATGCTAATTAACGACATACCTCGTCAATATCCGTGCAATGCGTCCCGTTCCCTTTATATCCCCCAGGACACGACGAACACTGATATCCATTAGGGGAGTCTACACACTCCACTCCCGCAAAACAAGGATTTAAATCACAACCAATGGGGTGGCAGCCAGACTTTGTTCCATTTCCCGTCATGCCTGGTGGACAGGGACCGCACTGATATCCGTCATCGATATCAATACAAAGAACTCCATCAAAACACGGAAGACTTTCACAACTGTCTGGGGACTGAACACATCCATCGGCAGTCCCGTTTCCCTGCATGCCGGTCGGACAATCTCCACACTCGTACCCGTACATAGTGTCAACGCAGGTGACTCCTGGAAAACAGGGTCTGGACTGGCACGTTCTTGTCTCGTCTTGACACCCATTCCGTGATTCGTCGCCTATCACTCCTGCTGGACACTGACCACACTGGACTCCGTCCACTGTTTCCGTACACGGTACATCTGGTCATAAATAATACACCGAGTCTTTTAATACAAAATTAAAAACAAAAGTTATAAATACACATATGGAAATTCAAATTTATTATGAAGACAAAGTTGCAAAATTGAATTCAAATTGCCTCCAAAACAAGGCTTCTGTTCACACGTGACTTTAGGAACACATGTGATTCCGTCTCCTGTGAAGTTTTCTGGGCACCTCCCACACCGGTATCCACGTGAGGTATCCTCACATTGCACGTTATCGTAGCATGGCTTGTCCTGGCAAGTCAAAATTCTCTCTCGGTGATCTGCAAATAAAACCATGTGGGAGAGAAGACGTTTCCCTTTGTATCTACCCTCATTTACAAGCGATCCTGAACAAGACGATGATCTACTAGCCTCAGGCCACAACATGCATGTGGCCCTGGAACCCAGTCAGTAAGATTATTGACTTTAGTAGAGAATTTGCTTTTTTATTGACTAGAGATGTCTTTATTCTTACACGTCTCTGTTGGTTGGCCAGTGTGCCCTCTACACATATCACAGCGACTCAAGACTTCTCTCAGGTAACGTGTCTCTTGGCCCTAAAGTGATATTTAACAGTCAGCAAAAAAATTAATGAATTATTAAAATAAATAGTAAAATAAATAAAAGCAAAACTATATCATAAATTTACTATAATAAAAATATGTGCATTTAGCCTCGTCGGGGGATAAGTAACTTCAAGGGTTTGTAAGGAGATTAAAGGAAAGGACCTTCTAAGTTTGAAGAACTTGTGTCCGATCCTTTTGTTAAAGCATCTGAACAATAAAATAAGTGGATCAAAAGCTCTTGTCCTTCAAAGAGGCAAAGCGACGGCCTTAAAATAGTTCACTTCCTCTACTTCAATTTTATTTTTTAAAACTTAAACAAAAGTAGGTGGTAAAGTAAAAATGAAGAGACCTGTATCGTTATCTGTCGCTGCAGTTGCATAACGGCGGAAGTGAGTGTTCTCAGGGAAGTCGACAATAGATGGACTTCTCTAGAATCTGTCAAAACATGGCGAGATGAGGTCAATTCGGCAGACGTCGTCAAAAGACACTTCAAAAAGTGAAGCAAGTTATTTAAGGAATAAATTTAATAGCTACCCATTTTATACGGTATAAACTGGGTTGGGGCAGTTTACGCTTTATAAACCGCGAAGTGGTTTATAAAAAAGCGTAAACAGTTCCAACCCAGTTTATACCGTATAAAATGGGTAGCTATTAAATTCATTGCCTATAATTTAATTTTCATTCATTTGATGTAAGAAAAAAAGATGATTGTTCTTACAAAATGATTTCAGTTTGTACAAAATTTGAATGTAACGTCAGGCGGATTGATAAGTTTTTGACGCAAGTCATTGTGGCGTAGGCAACCCATTTTATACGATATAAAGTAAATTTTTTATCCAGTCAAATACAGCGTTACAACCAGAATTAAATTATTTGAAATTAACGTAGAAATTTTTTTATCGGTCATCTTTAATGCAATTGAACATGTTATACTTGGTTGTTTTAAAGACATGTGTATCAATTTCCCTGATAAATACATATTGAGAATTTTTGAGAAATAAAATGTTACTAAACATCATATAAATTGTAGTATCATATTAAATCGTGTGACCATTTAATACCAATGGGTATGGCTTTAGAATCCGGAAGTGTTAACCTGTGTCGACTTTCCGGAAGAGGTTCCCTGGGAGTTTTAACATGGCCCGTTCTATCCTTGGATGATGTTTTGTCTTTGTCGAGGTCTGGTTTTGGGCGTGGTGGTACTACCACTCGAACAATAGTATTATGAGAATTTCTAGAGGGTGGTTCCTGAGTGGGGAAGCTGACTGGGCATCCCTGATTCTGGAGAATATGTCTTACATCTTTTCCAACATAAAACCAGAATCTAGGATTTATTTGCTACAAAAGAAAAAGAGGAATTTTTTTTGCCTAACCCGAGTACGTCTTTATAGCGCTTCGAGTCAATAAGTGAACTGCCACCAAATGCATAAAATGTCAAGAACGAAGTGTATTGAATTCATCTGTTTTGAAGAAATACTACTGGCTCCGATGTAATTCATGCATATATATATATATATATATATATATATATATATATATATATATATATATATATATATATATACTGAAAGGAAAAAGAAACGCAGGGTAGCGTAATTGTCGATAAAAATTTGACCACATGACCGAAAATTACGAAAATTGGTCAGATGGGAAATTTAGTTACTGTGCATCAAAATCAATATTCAGAATTACTCAGCCGTAAAATTTATGACGTCACGTAGGGAAAACGCTAAAAAGCCCAAAACACGTGTAATTTGATAACGACGTGTTTGTCCACAAATCTTGTTGCTTTATTTGATGCATATGAGGTATGCACATCGTTTTTCAATATTAAGAGACATTATGAATTTATTGCAATCTTGGCACAGTTTACGGAAGTTCAATGGGGTCTTGTTTTCAAATTGCTTAATTAATGAAAAAGGCAACAACCGTTTACTAAGCAGTCTCTTGTAAATTTTCCCCCATAAAACTTTTTAGCCGTTGTCAGAGAGGGTCTGGAGTGGATTTCAATCAACCGTGACGATGACGTTAACGCGAAACAGAGTCATGTTACGAGCGGGTTATTCGTCCTGCCATCTCTTAAATCGCCACCTTACTACTACAAAAACAGCCATTTATAGTGTACACGATTATAATCATTACATTCATACGAAATTTGAAAGAAAACAATTCCACAATTTGGTTTTTTTTAGCCAGTCAACGTACTGTTGTATTCCTCTCACTGGCGCATGCGCGCGCCGTTTGACTTATTTTTTTGCGTTGTTACTCATGCTAAATATAGCCAGGGTTTGAAAGATAAACACTCTGATGGAATTCCATGCAAAGGAGAAATAACACTCTGGCAGATGCACGAGATGGACATTGAAGATAATGAGAGTTTTCGATTTTCCCTTTTGGGGGGTATCGTCGTTTGAGCTTCAATAAAACATGAATAATTTAACAAAATCATATGAGAATTTTGTTACATATTTTTGAAAGATGATTTTAAAAGTTAGATAGGAAAAATAAAAAGTATTTTAAGAAAAACAAATTTAATTCAACTCAAAAGTTTACCCTGCGTTTCTTTTTCCTTTCAGTATATATATATATATATATATATATATATATATATATATATATATATATATATATATATGTATGTATTCAAGCCACCAGTTTTACAATAAAATAAGAAAAAGATACAAAACAGTATAAATGAAATTTCACGATCTATATTTTTTTTTAGAATAGAGAGAATATACCAATATATTTTGACTGGTGATTGATTTTCTTTCAATTAGGTTTGTATAATAAAAGAATCAGTTTCTGACTCATTATGTAAACCTAAATATCCTGATCCCAGAGTCCTACGTTTACCTGTCGCTGAGATCCTACCAGCCCCTCCCTGATGGGAACTGAGCTGGTCTCGTTCCCCACCAGTTTGCAGTTGATGTACATTAAGATTTGGTTCGGGGATTTCAAGAGGTCTTTAAAGTGGAGTGTGATTCGAATGTCTTTTTCTTTCAGCTGCGGTTGACATGGGAATGTAATCTGAACCTCTTTTCCATCACGTGATTTTATGTGTATTATTACTAGAAATAGAGAATGTCATATTTAAAATGATTTAACAGACTAATATGAAATTTATTTGAAGTATACAATAGTACTATGTCGAGCATCGAAACCGGCAAGGATAGGACACCTGCATCTCTGCCAGTCAAGGTTTACCACCCACTCCTCTCTTTCCCAACAGAGCGGATCGAAAACTCTTGGAATGCAAGGATTTGGCATCTGCCATTAAAAAGCCAACATTTGGCATTAATTATTGAGCTACTATGGCTTAGACATGCCATATCAATTTTACAGAAAGCAAATTTTTATTTAAAAATAAGTTCTGAGCAATTAAAAAAAATCGTAAATACAATGTAATAATTCGTTTGTACAATTTAGAAAATCGTTTCTGCAATTTTTAAAATTGATTTAATGTTGATGGTGCAATTAACCTTAAGAAATCGTTCAAAAAATGAAAGGATTCAAACGATCTCTTTAATAATAATAATAATAATAATAACTAGACCTTATTTTTGTCGTTCAACAAAAACGGAGGGCTTTTCGGCCCCTAAAATTTAAGGAGCTTAAAGAAAATTGGTTATTACATAATAAAATTTTAAAGGTTCATTATGCTTTAAGTTCTGGTGATATCAATAATGAAACATTACAAGTCACTATATTCATCAACGGCTACTCAAAGAGACGTAACTCTTTCATGATTATGCAAAAATGCAAAAAAAAAAAAAAAAAAAAAACCAACTGTTTTTCAATTCACTAAAACTCCTATAAGGAGTCAAAAAGTGACCCAACGGAACATATTTCTTTAACTGCCCTTCTTAAGCTTAACTCAAAATCGAAATCACTTCGAATATTGATTGGTAAATAAAAAAGTTATAGGCAAAAACTATTTTCTGTACTGCCCCCTAAAATCCCTTTAATTTTAAGAAATTTTATTTTTATGACCTTATTACCCAAAGACAATGCTAGAGTCATTATTCATGTGAAATATCACAAGAATTGCTTGCTTGACTTCTGAGATAATGAAACATACGTGATTTCAAATTTAACATAGAAATCTCCATAGGCAATTTTAAGGCTCTCATAGAACCAGAAGTACTCTTCATATCCATACTAACAATAAAACTTAGAGAGCATAAAAGACTCCAAAATTTTTGACAAAGGGAGATAACTGTTACGCAATTATTCTTGAAATTACTCAAAAATACAAAATTTCAGATCTCTAAAACACCTATAAGGGATCAAAAAGTGACCCCACGGACCATGATTTTCAAATTGCCCTTCTTATGCTGAACTGAAAACCGAAATCAGTTTGAAGATTGAAGGATAAATAAAAAAGTTATATACAAAAATCTACTTTCCGTACTGACCCCTTAAATCCCTATTATTTTGAGAAATTTTATTTTCATGACCTAACCACCTAGAGACAACACTAAAATAATTATTCATGTGAAATATCATGAGACTTGCTTGCTTCCCTTTGAAAACATTGGAACTTGCATGATTTCAAATTTAACATAGAAATCACCATAGGCAATTTTAAGGTACTTATAAAACCGGAAGTACTCCACATATCCTCACCAAAATTGAATCATAGAAATCATATTACACTCTAAAGAGGTTGACAAAGGGGAGATAACTCTTGCACAAATATTTTTGAAAATACTTAAAAATACAAAATTTCATATCTCTAAAACACCTATAAGGGGTCAAAAAGTGACCCCACGGACCATAATTTTTAAATTGCCCTTCTTATGCTGAACTCAAAACTGAAATCAGTTTTAATATTGATGGAAAAATAAAAAAGTAATATACAAAAATCTAATTTCTTTACTGACCCCTAAAATCCTTTTTATTTTAAGATATTTTATTTTCATGACCTAATCACCCGAAGGCAATACTTGAGTAATTATTCATATGGAATATCACGAGACTTGCTTGCTTCCCTTTGGAAATAATGGACGTTGCATAATTCCAAAGTTAACATAGAAATCTCCCTATGCAAATTTAAAGTACTTATAAAACCGGAAGTACACCTCTTATGCATACCAAAATTGAAACACAACGAGCATATTAGACTCCAATCAGGTTGACAAAGGGAGATAACTCTTCCGCAATTATTTTTTAAACTACTTAAAAATACAAAATTTCAGGTCTCTATAACACCCATAAGATATCAAAAAGTGACCCCACGGACCATAATTTTTAAATTGCCCTTCTTATGTTTAACTCAAAACTGAAATCAGTTTGTAGATCGATTGACAAATAAAAAAGTTACAGGCAAAAAACGGTTTTTCTGTACTGACCCCTAAAATCCCTTTTATCTGAAGGAACCTTGTTTCATGACCTATCCACCAAAAGACAATAATAGAATTATTATTCAAGTGAAATATCACAAGAATTGCTTGCTTTCCTTTTGAGATAATGGACATTGAATGATTTCTAATTTAACATAGAAATCTCCTAAATCTTCTAGTTGACCCCTAAAAATCCTTAATTTTTAGAGATTTAGTTTTCATAACCTTTTCACCTGAAGACAATAATAAATCAATTATTCCCTGTAAATATTACTAGAATTGCTTGCTCTCCTTTTGAGATAATGGAACAGGAAAGATTTTTTTTTACTACAGAAACTCCCATAGACAATTTCAAAGCCTTATAGAACCGGAAGTTCTGGTCTGGTGGACTTGAAACTTACCTTACAGCCTTTCATTACGTTGTTTAACAATATTTAACCTTCGAAATAAATTTCCTACATTGTTTTCAAAATTTTAAATTTCAATCCCCCCTTTTCTTAATTTTGGAGCCCTATAACACCAATATATACCACAGGTGCTAAACCACCAACGATGACTTTTTTGTTGATATTACTTTGAGGAATATTTTCCTAAATTATGAAACAAACTGCATGCAAAATAAGGAAAGTTTAAGGCTTTAGAGAAATTTCTGTTTCTGACTTATAAATACCGGAAGTGACGTTTCCGGAAGTACAAAACCTTACTTACGCGAGACTTTTAGATATGCTGTCTAATGATGTTGCTATAAATTACATATCTCCAATGATGTTCTTTAAATCCTTGACCAAAAAGTGTTAGGTATAATAATAATAACTAGACCTTATTTTTGTCGTTTAACAAAAACGGAGGGCTTTTCGACGCCTAAAAATCAAGAGCTTTAAAAACTTACATGATATAAAACTCATAAGGTTCAATTTCACAAAAGTTCTTTTGAGATCAATACTGAACTGAAAACATAACGATTCTTTTTGTCCATCATTGTCTTCATAAAGAGAAATAACTTTTTCATCAATATTTAAAACATATGAAAATGTACTTTTTTTCAATCCACTAAAACTCATATAAGGGGCCAAAAAGTGACCCCACGGGTAATATTTTTTAAACTGCACTCTTTATGCTTAATGCAAAACCAAAATAAGTTTAAAGATTGCTTGAAAAATAAAAAAGATATGGAGAAGAGGCTGTTTTCTGAATTGAACCCTTAAGTCCCTTCTGTTTAAGGATTTTTCTTTTCATGACCTTACCAACTGGAGACAATGATTGAGTCATTATTCATGTTAAATATCACGAAAATCGCTTGCTTCCCTTTTGATATATGGGACATAATATGATTTCATATTTAACATAGAAATCTCCATAGAGAATTTTAAGGGCCTCATAAAACAGGAAGTACTCTTCATATGCATATCAAAATTGAAACATAGAGGGCATATTAGACTGCAAACAGGTTGACAAAGGGAGATAACTCTTGCATCATTATTTTTAAAATTACTTAAAAATACATAAATTCAGGTCTCTAAAACACCCATAAGGGATCAAAAAATGACCCCACGGACCATTATTTTTAAATTGCCCTTGTTACGCTTAACTCAAAACCGAAATCAGTTTCAAGATCTATGGACAAATAAAAAAGTACCAAAATTGAAACATAGAGAGCATATTAGTCTTCAAATAGATTGCCAAAGGGAGATAACTCTTGCATAATTATTTTTTAAAATACTTTAAAATACAAAATTTCAGGTCTCTAAAAGTCCTTTAAGGGGTCAAAAAGTGACCCCACGGACCATAATTTTTAAATTGTTCTTTTTATGCCTAATTCAAAACTGAAATCAGTTTGAAGATTGGTTGACAAATAAAAAAGTTACAGACCAAAAACTGTTTTAAGGATTGACCCCTAAAAATCCCTAATTTTTAGAGATTTGATTTTCAAAACATTTTCACCTGAAGAAAATTCTAAATCAATTATTTCCTGTAATTATTACAATTATTGCTTGCTCCCCTTTTGAGATAATGGAACACAAATGAATTTTTTTCACTATAGGAACTCCCATAGACAATTTTCAAAGACTTATGGAACCGGAAGTTCTGCTCTGATGGACATGAAACTTACATTTCTGCCTTTAATTACTTCGGTTAACAATATAAAATCTTCAAAATAAATTTCCTACATTGTTTTCAAAATTTTAAATTTCAATCCCCCCTTTTCTTAACTTTGGAGCCCTATAACACAAAAATGTACCATAGGTGGAAAAACACTAACGATGACTTTTTTGTAGATATTTCTTTGAGGAATATACTCCTTAATTTTGAACGAAATTGCATGTAAAATAAGGAAAGTATTAGGGTTTAAATAAATTTTAGTTTCTGACTGATATATACCGGAAGTGACGTTTACGGAAGTACAAAACCTTACTTACGCGAGACTTTCAGATATGCTGTCTAACGGTTATGGTATAAATTACATATCTCCAATGATGTTCTTTAAATCACGATCATAAATCTGTTAGGTATAATAATAATAATAACTAGACCTTATTTTTGTCGTTCAACAAAAACGGAGGGCTTTTCGACCCCTTAAAAAGAAGAATCTTATATTACACATTAAATAACACTCAAATAATACAATATCGCTAAAGTTCTTTTGAAATCAATACTGAATTGAAAACATAACGATTCTCTTTGTCCACCAGTGTCTACTCAAATAGAAATAACTCTTTCATCAATATTGAAAACATATGAAAATGTACTGTTTTTCAATCCAGTAAAACTCCTATAAAAGGTCAAAAAGTGACCCCACGGCTAATATTTTTTAAACTGCACTCTTTATGATTAACCAAAATTTGTTTGAAGATTGCTTGAAAAATAAAAAAGTTATGGAGAAAAGGCTGTTTTCTGAATTGACCCCTTAAGTCGCTTCTATTTAAAGGATTTTTCTTCCCATGACCTTACCAACTTGAAACAATGACGGAGTCATTATTCATGTGAAATATCACGAGAAT